GTGGGTGATAGAGGCTGGATTCAGGTGGTCTCATGCTTACACAGCAATCGCTTTTCTGACGGATATATCTGCCCAGCCCTCTGCTAGATGTACAGAAAATACCATGAAGCTTGTTTATCATATTGGCTCAGACAAAGCCAGTTAAATAGGCTCGTACAAAACCTCATTTGGTATATATGTGGAACCAAACATATTTTGTGTATTGTTATCCTTTATAGAATATATGTATGTATGCGTATACATGTTAATAAAATATGTGTTTCTGTACTTATGAAAAAAAAGAAAATTATATATTTACTGAATTTCAATAAAAACATTTAAGATACTTCCACAGATAAAGCAAAAAGCATATAAAGGCAAATTAACTATACCAATTATACCAGAAGGGCTTCATGAGTGTACCCTGATGTTGTGCTGTGCATTCTTTAGAACTTTTAGAGTATATCAGTGCATGTATGTCATTTTACCTAGTGAAACTATATCATCACAGTTCTATCTGAAAACAACTTTACTTTGATTTATATTTGCTTTAAAATTAAATTTTTAAATGAAGATGTGATTTTTCATAACTATAAGCTCTTTGAGAAGTTAAATGTGTCATACTGCACAGAGACTGCCTCAGTATTCTTTGACTTCTAGTGTGGGCAGAAAATAGACATTTAGATTATATAACTATTAGAAAATTTAAGTGTTATGAGAAGGGTGCAAAGTAAGGAATGAACTACAATTTAAAATAGAATATCCAGAGGTGGCTGTGATGTGCAGACCTTCAGTTTATACCACTATGAGGCTGAAGCTGAAGAAGTAGAAGCACAGGAGTTTAAACATCATTGGCAAAAAACAAGCTGCTAGCTCAAAAACAAAACAGAACAACATGACACAGAACAGTCAGAGGATTTATAAAATATGAATATTACAGCAAAAATTTCAGAGATGAGATAATTATCAGTATAGTTAAAATATAACCCATGTTCTGATTATTACATTTTTAGAAAGAATATTCAAAATATTGATGAATTTTAGTATCATAAGACAATCTTAGAGCCGCCTAATGTAATCATTTTGGAGGATTCACTATCTATTTAGCTGACATGATTCCAGTTTGTTTCAAAATCAAATCCCTTTCCTCTTAAACACTATGTATAGTGCACGTCCGTTTTATGAAGAGGCGCTTACAAGAAATGTGTACACCATGAAGGCTTTCATAGAATCTGTATCAATAAGATCCCTTTTCCTTTTTAACACACTAGTCCACCTATTGTATTATTCTGACTGCTATGAGAGGTGTAAAATCATACTGAAAATGTGCTGTATCTACTAACAAATCCATTTGTAAGGGTTAGTTTCCTGTCTAACTCAGCATAGACACACGTAGGTTCCCAGTTAAGAAAACTAATTTAGGTATAGCTGTGGCGTGGGTTTAGTTACTCCTTTTCTTACACTTAATTTTCTTGTTTTGTTCTTTAATTGGGGGCTCACATTAAAGAGACTACATCAACTGACTGTTGTCTCTCATATGAATCACAATTTAGAAAACGGTTATCTAGGAACAGTGTGAGAAGGGGCAGAGCAGCCCCTTCTGTGAATGCGTTTATAGGTGGCACTAACTTCTACAATCAACCAGTATAACTGAAGGGATCATTATGTACACTCTGGATGAGACACCCAGAAACAAAGCTCAGCCTGGGACGATGGCTCAGCTGGTAATGACTCGCTGCTACGCCTTGCTGGACTGTGCTTCCCAGGACCGTTCTGGTGGACGAAAGGAGTAAACCAGTGTAAGTGGTCGGGTAATATCCACATCAGACAGAGATGCCATGCACGTGTGAATTTCAACTGTGCACACACCCACACTGAAATAGTTTAAAAAACTACAAAAAGTTTAAGCACAGCTTCTGCTTCAAGATGGTAAAATCAGTCACTGCATAAGAATTTGCAACTTGTCAGACAATGGCTTGAGCCTATTTTAAAAAAATAAGTTTGTATGTCTATTTATATGTGTATATTTAGATATATATTAGGTGCCTGAAAACAATACATACAACTATACATACAAATCACATAAATAGATCCTTAATTGATTTTACACACGTGTAGCCAAAAAGGCTAAGGAGCAATCATGGGCTGACGATGTATGGAGAATGCTGAATGCTGGAAGTCCTTTTCTTAGATTATTTTTCTTGAAAAGACATCATGCATTGGGTCTCTTACACTTAATACAGGTCAAAACTTGCTACTATCTAAAATATTTGTCATAGAAGGATATTTTAACCCAAGTAATTGGAAGGTGATTCTGCAATTAAATAGAAGAAATTACCATATAAAAATTTATAAAATTTTCTGGAATGAAATAAAAAGCTAGAAAATAAAATGACAACAAGAAAGTGAAAGCAAAGTTTTCATATAAAACATTAATGAAGAACTTACTACAAAACCACATAAAATAGTATGTTTATGGTCAAAAGCCTACTTACTCAGGGTATTTGAAATATGGCATAAATTATCATTATTAATCAGGGAGAGTGCTTTTACACGAGCCATTTAAGTTACTTTTTCAATAACCTGAGAAACACGCTCTGGTATTTTACAGAAAACTAGTTGGGGAACAGAGACACCAAGAAACAAATCAGGCAGGGTTTCATGTTGAGTCCATTAGAACAGAGCTAGGCACAATGCTAAAAAGATAAAGATAGCTGGCAAAATATAACACACACAAGCAATTTCCACAACAGAAATCTGTATATAATTTTTAAAAATTCAGAAGCTTTATAGTAGGAAGCAGCCCTTCAAGCAGTGGGAAAGTAAAACAGGCAGTGATCTACTGGAATTCACCTTTTGATTCTTCCCACACGTTCAGGGACTCAGAATACTGTACAATCAACAGAGTAATAAGAATGCTGGGAACACAGATGAGCCCTAACTAAGGTTGGGTATGAATTTCCCTACTCTTTACAATCAGAGCACTGAGCTGCTGAGTTATAACTGCTGGCTTAACTGCTGGTTCCTCCTGGTCAGATGGGAACTATAATGAACCATAGCCTTGATGTAGCACTTTGTTGATATGATAAGTTAACTGATTTCTCAGATGTCCTGAAGTTTTTCTACCTTTCATCTGAACTTATTCAGAGTGACACAGGTTGGATGCCAGTTTTTCAGGATACCAGGACAGTCAGTACTTCAGTATCTTCAATGGAACCTCCATCAAATTTGAATTACATTTTAAAAGAAGCTGAACAATCCTAAAGTTTATACGGAAACACAAAAGAGCCCAAATAGCTAAAGCAATTCTAGACAAAAGGCACAAAACTGCAGGTACCACAAAACCTCATTTCAAGTTACTCTGCAGAACTACAATTAACAAAGAATACAAAAACATACATCAATGAATAGAACAAAGGACTCAGATAAACTTACAAAGTTAGAGCCACCTAAGTTTTGACAAAGGTATCAAAAGCCTACATTAGAGTAAACCTCAATTGGTGCTGGAAAATTTGATATCCCCAAGTAGGAAGCAAAAACTAGATTTCTAGCTTTTTGTGCCAAAAAAAAAAAAAGTTTAAAAACAAACCAAAAGTCTAATACAATAGCCAAAATCTCTGAAGGTGCTAACAGAAAACATAGGGAGAATATTTTAAGCTAAAAATGTAGACAAGGTGTTTCTGAAAATAGCTCATGATATAAATGCAGGAAAAGGGAAATGTGGTAGAGTGAAATTAAATAGCTTCCACACAGAAAGGAAAAAAACTGGTAGAGAGAAAGATAGTGAGTGTACATAATAAGACAGGATAGATATGAAAGTAATAATAACAAGGGGTACCTAATAATCATATGGTGGCCCCCATACACTCATGTTTGAATGCTGGATGGAACCATATGGGAAGGGTTAGCGGTGTCAGCCCTGCTGGAGGAGGTGTCTCACTGGGAGTGGCTTGTGAGGTTTTAAAAGATCTTGCCTTTCCCAGTGCCTTTTTTGCCTCCTGCTAGCAGTTTAAATATGTATCTTAAAACTGTTCTTAGCTGTTTCTGTTGCAATACTTCTGCTCTGTCATCATGGGCTTAACCCTCCCAGACAATAAAAACCCAGTTAAATGCCTTCTTTTATAAGTTTCCTTGATCATTGTGTTTTATCACAGCAACAGAAAAATAACTACAACACACTATAATTCAGAAAAATCAAGCAGTCATGCTAAGAAACCAGTGACACTATATATACCATAGAAATTAATTAGGAATAAGTAGTATTAGTCATTTTTTCAAGAAATGTCATTTCTGACAACAATGTTCACACACACACATACAAACACACACACACACAACCCTAGCAAAACCATTAACTTGCTAACTACAAATTCAAGAGGAAACAGATTTTTAAGTTCCTGTAATCTGACAAAATCTGGAAAATACGGTAATATTGGGAGAAAGAGTTAGCTACAAAATATCTTATCTAAAAGGCTGCATAGACTATTTTATCTGGTTCAAATAACGAGAAAAGTAGACTTTGTTCAAAGGCTAAATTTTATAGCATTATTGAAAATGAATTTTCGAGTCTGTATTTCTGATTTCTTTTAAAATGATAAGTTTTATTTTATAGGCCCTCATTTCACTTTATAAGACTTACAGAAATGAGGAGCTGTGCCCTATTTTTAGGTTGTATATATTCACAATGTCCCAATGTGGCAAGTAATTTTTTTTCTAATTTGATTTTTTTAATTTAAGTTTTTTTCATTAACATTAGAATTCTAAATTATTTTTCTGAAGATAATCCTGCCTTATGAGTTTGTTTCTTTGAGGGCAAGTAAAATTTAAAATCCCTTTTCTGGTTTGTATATCTCACTCGAAAAAACTTCAAATACAGGTGGGATTTGTAGTCATGCAAGCATGGAAGTAGTCATACAGAGAGTACTCTGAAACACTATGCTGGAGAACGAAAGAAAAATTGGCAAGTTAAATCCTAATTGAGTGACCATACTAATTATTATGGGGCTATAGGTTCCACTTACCTTGAGTATCTAATGCTATAGATATTTTCTAAGCCACACAGCCTTCAATATCTATCTTACAAAGGCAGACGTGGACATCTCCAGTGTTCTCCTAAAACAGAAGCATAGGAACATATACTTAAATAAAAAAAAAAAAATCTGAAATTATGACTTTCTTATTAAGGAAAACATGCATTTTTTTAATAATCAAAGAAAAGAAAAGCTGGGTCACATTATAGAACATATTTTAAGTTAATAAACAAACAAATAAAAAATTACATTAAATTTTCTCTTTAGAAAATTCAGGCAGTTCTGTCAAACACAGATTGTAGCATTTTCTGTGTCCCTCTCTTAGGTTATAATTTATGTTATGTTGGGTTAGAGTAGGGTGTGGTGGGAGTGAGGTATTCGTGCACTAAGGAGGCCAGAGGACAACTTGCAAGAGTCCATGCTCTCTTTTCAACATGTAGATTCTACGGATGGAACTCAAGTTAGGCTTGTTGGCAAGCACTTGTACCTGCAGAGGCTTTTCTTGGGGCCTTAGCATAGAATTTGATACATGTAATAGGGGAACACTTTTATAATGCGTTCACTATCCAGATTCTGTGCACATTTTCGGGTTATTGTAAGACTGTAATTTAGCTGCAACATTTCTCTTTCCTTTTCTCCCTTCAAACCCACCCACATACTTATCTCAGCTCGTCTTCATTAATTATTATTGCATGCACATATGTATGCATATATATGCCTAAATATAACCTGTTGAATCTACATAATATTACTGGTTTGTCATTTTTTTTTTTTCAGGGCTAACAATCTGGCACTTAATAGCTAATTGGGGCTGCTTTTTTCTTTTTCTTTTTTTTTAATCTCCCAGCTTTACTCAGTTCATTGAAAAATTTTAATAAATATTTAAATCATATTGATTCTAAAGACCTGCATAATTTTTCATATACTAGAAATTTATACCTTGCTCATAATCAATACAAAATATAATCTGGATTATATTTGATATATATTTATATATATACATTGTTTTATATTATATCTATATTCTTATACAAGCTAGATAAGAAAAACATCAAAAATTCTGGCTTGTACCTATACTCCAACTAAGGATCATTCACGGAGAGGACCTAGAACTCCTGTTCAAAGGAAACCCATTAGCTGCTCAGTTTCCAAGTGGGTTCCCTAGTAAGGGGGGGAGGGGCTGTCTCTGACAGGAACTCAGTGGCCAGCTCTTTGATCACCTGCCCCTGGGGGTGGTACAGCCTTGCCAGGCCACAGAGGAAGATGATGCAGCAAGCCTTGATGAGACCTGATAGGCTAGGGTCAGATAGAAGGGGAGGAGGGCCTTTTCTATCAGGGGACTAGGATATAGGGGGAGAGGAGGGAGGTTGGGTGGGACTGGAAGGAGATGAGGGAGGGGGCTGCAGCAGGGATACAAAGGGAATAAATTGTAATAAATAAATATATAAATAAAATTAAATTTAAAAAATTCTGGCACATGTAAAAGCTAAAATGTTATTCTCATCACTTGAAAACCACAATCAGTATTTTAAGCCATCTTAAGGAAGCTTGGCAGAAGATTTTTTTTTTTTTAAGAAAATGCCTGTAATTGACAAATGGATTTATCCAGAGAATATACCCTTTACTTAAAAAGCTTTATTCTTATCATTTGACAAAATACAATTTTGAAGAAAATTTCAATGTTACAGGGCCATTCCTTTAACAGTTGGTTTAATATAGTACCCTTATTGTTTTTAGTCATTACTGTAGATCCCTGTTTGTTTGTACCTGCATATTAAAATACTCAAGACACTTTAAAAAATATTAAGATGTGGCTTTTTGTTAGTGATTCTTTTAATTTTTATGATACTAACAGTTTATCTTAAAAACCTTAGTCTTATTGCAAATGCAGTATTTTACATGCCTAAAAATCCATTAAATATGGCTCAAACTTGAAATATAGATTTGTAGTTTTAGCATATTTCCTATTTCTTGTGAAAAATATGCTTTCTTAAAATACTTCTGCATATCTAATTATAAAATTCAGAAATTTGTAGAGGAAAAACCATGCTTTCTAGTTTCTCACAGCAATAGGAGAACATCTATGCAACTTTCTTTTTTATTAATAATTTTTATTTTTTTAATATTAATCACAAGTTATTTACTTTGTATCCCAGCCGTTGCCCCCTCTCTATTTTCCTTCCAATCCCTTCCTCATCTCCTCCCTGCCCCTTTCCAAGTCCACTGATAGGGAAGGTCCTCCTCCCCTTCCATCTGACCCTAGCTTATCAGGTATCTTCAGTACTGGCTGCCAAGTCCTCCTCTGTGGCCTCGCAAGGCTGCTCCTTCTATGCAACTTTCAAGTTCTCATTTGTATTCTAAAAGTAACTTTAAAAGCATTTTAATTTATATTTCAGTGATGAATAAAAACATCAAGAAATTACTAAATAAAATAAAAATGCAGTCTGTCATAATAAAAATTCAACATTTAAGTATAAATACTTGTAGATTACCCTCGCTTTATAATGGCCCCTAATTTTTTAACAAAAATTTTAATCATGTAATCCATGCATGATTTATGTTCACAACTATTTTATGAAAAAGAGTAACTTTTGCCTGAGCATAAGCAAACCATCGTTTAGTGCCAATTAAGACCATTAGAATGTTTATTCTAAATTATTCTTCCAATATACTTTGAATTAGTATGGTTCAAATATAACTGTTACATTTTTGTGGCAAAGAGCAGAGGAGTTCCCTACCAGGCATGCCTATGAATGCCTAAAAAATTCAAATATGATGTAAATATTACCCATTGACAAAATTTTCTTCAGCCCTCTTGCCACATGTCTTCATAATCTGGCTTCTGTAGGCAATATATTTAAAATATAGAGGAATCAAATTTTTCTTCATTTTGATAACCCTGAGGTGTCACAAAACACTAATACCAAGGTTCGTAAAAATAAACAAAATTTTTCTTCTTTTTTTTCTTCTCTCACTGGTATTTTCTAAACAAGTTCACTCAATATAGACAAAGAACTCCTTTGGTTGGAATATTCTGTTTGCCCCATATATATGTCCCCTCACTGGCAAGGGTAGGCTAGCCTTGAAATACAATGATCTTGCCTTAACCTTTCCAGTGCTGGAATAATAGGCATGTACTATCATGTCCAGATCTGACAGTATACTTTCATTATATCCATTATTTCAGGGAAACTAGCTAATTTGGGCTATGATCTTTTACAAATATCATCAGTTCTTCAGAAAGAACGTGCAAAACTTTTCCAAATACAGTAGACTATTCATATGCATAAGGAGTGAGTGGCCCAGCTGAGTAGGTGTTGCTGACATAGGCAACGCCATGCCAAGGACTACAATACCTCAGCCCCAGGGGAGTGGCAAAGCCTTCCTTGAGTGAGGTTGAGAGGGTGGCAAAGCCTTCCTCTGATGTGAGTGTGAATACTGACAAGTTTCTGCAGAAAATGTACACCACAGCTTTCCCTTCCATATGTGTGTGGCCTGAAGACTATGCCCTGTAGAAACTCTGCTACTGAGATTAGTGAAACCCACTTCCTTGTTCAGCTGTATATAATAATTCTTCCTCCTTGCTCATGTGTATGCAATAACTATGGTTCCTTTTTAAAAAAAGCTATGTATAATAATGCCACTTCCCTGTCTAACTGTCTATAATAAAGAAACTGAGGTTTCAGGTTGCAATGGCTTCTCCATCTGAGAGCCCAGTCCATATAATTTCTCTATATTTCTGTTCCTGTATCTGTAAGTCTGTTCTTTCTTCACTCCATTGGCACCTCAGTTAGGTTAATCTTTGGAGTCATGCAGAGAGCTGCATATATGAACACTATTGTTAGGCCTGCTGACAGAAAAAAACTACTGAGCCAGCAAGATTGAAATCCAATGAATAGATTGGTAATTTCACTCACTACTCTTAATTCTATACAGTCTTCCTCTAGATCTCAAAAATGAGGTTTTTGAAAACAAATATAAACCAAGTACTCAAGGTTGAAAAACTGCATATATTGTAGAGAACAACAGGGTGAGAGAATAAGATCATGTGAACATAAATGTCTAGGTTAAGTTTACATTCATTTAAAAAATTTCAAAATGAACCGCAAATTAAAAAGGCAAAAAATGTTAAACCTAAAAAGAAAAATATGGGAACAAAACATCCAAGAAATCTGGGAATATACAAAAAAGGTGAACCCTAAGAATAGGATGAGTGGGGAGGGCGGGGCAAGATGGCGGCACCAGGAGGACTCTCATTCTGAGCAGCAGCACAGCAGGATCGGCACAGTGACCAGCAATCAGAACTCGCGGCCGTAAAACAGAAGTGATTGTGTTTCCCAGGTGAGAGGATACCCCACGGTGGGGGATTCAATCAGCTTTAACTCACCCAGCTAAACCGCGGAAGAGATCCCCGTTCCACCAGATGCTTGGTCGCCAGCCCTAGCCCAGAGCTACACACCAGTGTGCTCTGGTCATGGTCCCAGACTGAACCGTGTGTACCACACTATCAGAGACTGGAATTTTCAGTCGAGAGATAACCCCACGGTGCAGGAAACGATTGGGACTGACCTTAGGTCACCCAGACATCCCCTCGAAAACACTCGGGGTCCGTGGGCGCCCCAGGAGCCAGCCCAGAGCCAGAGCCAGGGACCCAGGCTCTGGCACAGAGCCCTGCCTGTGTGCTTGATTCAACGCCTCAGCTAGAAACTGTGGGCCCCAGGGCACCAGAGTCTGAGTTTCACTGTTGGGTGCAAACACACAGGGAGGGAACCAGCTGGTCTGATCTCAGAGCACTCAGCCGACACCCCCACCCCGAAAAGATCTCAGGAAAATTTCCCAGTTTAGGCAGACGCCCAGGCTCCCAAAGGCCAGAAAGGCAGACACAGGTAGTTTCTTCACACCAGCTAGCTGGGAGAGACTGAGCGGTGTGCCCCAGGGCAAAAAAAGACCCTTTCTCCAGAGAATCCACAGGGAAGGAAGGAAACTGGACTGACTTAAATCACCCAGTCCTTCCCTGGAAAAAGTCTCGCAGACCAGCAGGGCCGAGCCGCCATCACTGAGCTGTGCTCCAGACACAGGCAG